GGGTAAACTCAACAATAACGATAATATTCTATTAAAGTCTGAAACTCAAGAACTATTGGATTGGTCCATGATGCAGAACTAAAAAACTAAGAACACGTGGCTTACTCTTGTCCTACCCTGATTCACAAATATTTGTTGCCCCTGTTGGTTGGGTTGGTTGGTTTAAGGCTAGAGATTGGTTATGGTTATGATAAGAATATCATAGTTATCCAATCAGAGGTAGGATAGGTTTTTGCCTTTCCCAAAGAAGAAAGAAAATATCACATAGAGAAGAGCGTTGTTCTGAACCTGCAACTTCACTTTCCCTGGCCCCCTTTGGTTCAGTCCAAAGTGAGGACGGCTGCTGTGATCAGATACTTCATACTCTCCTCTGAATGGACCGCAATGTCGCTGGAAGAGCTCTTCAGATCGTCATTCATATTACTTGCTCTGAACAATATTCAAAAGCAGGGACAATGATGTCACGTCTCCTCTCTCAAAGTAGCCATCAATTCCAACACAAGGGCTCCTGGGATTCTGTCTGTCGAGACCGAGGGTGATCACGTCGACAATGCAAACAGGATGTACATGATGACTTACAATCAAAGAATACTCATGTGGACATTGTACCTTCAACTTCGATAAACCCTTCTATCAGGAGTGGTACTTCCCTTTCAGAATTGTTGGTCCTTCAATTTGAACTAGAGCTGCCTGTAGTCTAATTGAAGTCTTCTACCGAACTCTCAGACTGTGTTCCTTTTCCACGGTGTTGTTCTTTGCATGGAGCAGGTACTCCAACATCTGAACCTTTACAGTCCAACAACCTTTACAAACAACATGACTGGTGCATAGTAGCATGTAGATGTCCAAGGGCAGTGGATCATTGGATCAGCCACTTGAACCAATCCCAACCTACTGGTACAAACTCAAAATATGACCTGGGGCCCTTGGATGAACCAGTGTAATATATGCAATAGTTAAGACCTTGTACTACAAGCTCTTCCACAGTCTACAATATTGTCTCAGACCATGAGCGACTGCAGTGTACACTCATGCATTCCCAGCCTCTTGTCTACATCTCGAGTCCAGTAATGAAACTGTGCCTCAGTTACTTACTGCCTCATGTGTGGCATGTGGGTTTGTGATGCCAAGTGGTTTGTATATCAGCCTGACAGAAGGAAAGTCTTTGGTTTTACCCCACACAAAGCCAACTTGTGCATCTCAGGCAGATAGCTATTTGATTTCAAAGCCAAGTATAAATACAACCTAGATATTGTAGTCCTACATGTTTTAAAGCTGAAATGATAAGAAGGCTGTTATCTCTTAAGGCCACATGCATTGACTGGACTGCGCCTATGTGTAATATTATTTGTCATTGCAAATGTAGATCATCATTTTCAAGGGCAACTTCTTCAATTTATACTTTTGAAGTCTCAAGCCATTGTCAAAGATTCATACAGGTGTGGATCAAGGCTTTTTCTTACTGATTTTTTTTTTTTTTTACTGAGCGATTTCTGTTTTACCTGATTTTCTGTTTTAAGTCAGATGAAACACAGATGTTTTAACATGCAAAACTGTATGAACAACAACAGCTCAAGACTCCATGACTGTGAAGGCATCTATCAACAACAGAAAAGTGGAGTATAAGATATATTATTTAAATTATTTAACACATTTATTCACATTCATTACACCTAAGTATCAGAGGCATTTTGCTGCCATAGCTATAACTGTATCCACAGTTTATTGGTTTTAACAGCAGTCTAACATAACATTACTGTTGTTGGCATGAGCGAATACTTCTTCAACGATAGCATTCTGTGTAAAAGAAAAAAGAACCCGTAATAAAATGTTAACTTGGGTTTCATAGAAAAATCCATCATCTACAGTCTTGTCGAGCCATGGGATAATATGATAGTAATATAATAAGGAGCAGATATTTAGACTCGTCCATGTCTCTCATGTGAGAGACATTGATCCTGTTTTCTCAATTTACACTTCTGTACACTCATTCAGAACTTTTTTTTTAAACTTTCTTAATTTAAAAGACTTCTAAAAATAAATGCTAAATGTTTATGTAATTTCACCTTGATGGTGCTTTATTATTATGTGCTTGCTACAGACATGCTAAAAAATGGGGTAATAGGGTGGAACCAAAGCAACAGAAAAAACGTTTTGTTTTTTTTTCGTGAAAATATTAAGGAATTCATTTGTTTACAATCAGATAACGACCTCTCCGGGTAAACTCAAAGCAGTCAGGTCATTAGAAACTGCGTTCATCCTTAACAGTGGCGAGGCCTTTTCAGCTCACAAGAAAACAAGGCTGTGATTATGTTGCATCTTCCCTCTCTTTTTTATCTACAATCTTTTGTACTGTTATTTATATATATTGTATTCATAGGTAAAGGGAGGTTCTGGAGCTTTCCCTGAATGTTTTGTTTGTTTGCATTTTTTTTTTATGTTGTGAGAAGCGTCAGTCAGAGAGTTTGCCTTCACTTTTGGAGCCTTTGCGTTTTGATATGCGTGTCTTTTTTCTATGATCAATGAAGCTAGCTAGTTATCTGTCAGTGCAGGAAATGTTCCACGAGGGTGTTTGTTTTTATTTCCATCGGCTAACAGAACATCTCTTTGTCTATTCACCTTCAAGGTGGCTATGCACGTTTCATCATGAAAAGTCTGCAGCATTTAAAGTTCGCAAGGTTTTTTTTCTTGTTGCAAATATCTTCACCATGTTAGACATTTCAGAGCTGCATGTATCCAAGTAATCTGTGCTTTGGGCAGTTTATTACAACAATGGAGTACAAAAACACGATACTTTTGTGTGTTGTTCCTGATGAGATGTAGAAAATGTACGAATGTCTTGTTTATGTTAGGTTGATATGTTAAATAAATACATCGTCCATTATGAAGGCTGATATTCATCCTAGAAAGAATGGAGAAAAACACTTCTATATAAGTGATGTTTAAGTGGGTTGACAGCAGCTATTTAAAAAATATTGAAATACTCTTTTGAAGAATTTAGGAATCATTGAATATCCACAGAAAGTTAAGGTGGTGGGAAACTGTAGCAGCTGTTTTATATTTATGTTTTTTTTAATTTATTTATTAATTTATTCTCATTTTTAAAATGGAATCTAACAAAGGGACTATGTGAATAACTGGATTGAATGTGGCAACACTCACTGAAGCATGCTTTTTTGTTGTATGTTTTGTTTCTGTTCTGTGTGTACAGATGACACACGTGTAAATACTGTTAAAAGGTACAGTTCTGAATTGTCTGAGAACAGGTTGTGAAATACTCAGGCTGTGCTACCGCTCCATCACACAATACAACTGTTTATGGATATCAATAAAAAGGTCACTTTGTTACTTTGCTGTCATTGTGTGGATATGTAAGACCTAAAAAAGACACGATTTGAAACCAGTAGTTATTGCAAACCAGGAGATCGGTAATACTGAACTTGCGACTGAGAGGCATGTGATTGGCGGAATTTTTAGGCGATCGTGATTCTACTTTAATAAGACAGTAACATTGTGAAATTTAAATTTAAGACGTTTTTGGGGGAAATGTCATTATGAAATTAGACAGGCTGAAAAGTGTGCTTGGATTCAAACTTCAATGAAAACAAAAACAAAATAGTATTTTTGTCCAAACAATTGATTAAAACTCATCTATGATTTTTCTTTTACTGAAATATTGAAAGTTTTGTGACATCGATAATTTTCGAGCATCAGGCAGGGTTGGTCATTTTCTCCAGAGTTTGGTTGAAATTGTCTTAAGGTCCTGACAGAAATGAAGTCATCTGTAGCAGCTGTAAGCATGTAAAACCTTTGACCAATATCTGCCACAAGGTACCAATTTAGTGAACTAATCATGTCTCGCTGCTCGTACTCTTCCCCTTGCGTGCACTAGCCAGCGCTCAAAGTGCATCACAGATGACAGTTTATACTGTGAGTGAGTTTCCTTACCGCTGAATAAGACAGGAGACGACGTATACTACACAATGCAAGCGATGAGCTGAGGTCCGCTTAAGGAGCAATGTGTAAGTGAGGGCTGCCTTTATATTTGGAACAATTCTTGATGCTCTGACCCTTTTCTTTTCACACTTTAGGGGACATGTTAGGAAAAATAGGAAAATATTATGAAAACCAACCCACAAAATGTGAAATAAACCCATCCAGTCTTTTGTTTGTGGTCTTGCATAAGTCTTACAACACAGTGAAAAGTGTGCTGTTTCAAATTTGCTCTCCTTGTGATGTCACAGTGAGATTCTGGTACAAAATTCTCACTACATAGGAGTGATGTCTACTGGGAAAACTCAGGGTTTTAAATGTTCATGCATTTAAAGAGACACACACACCAAAAGGAGCGTTCTGAGAGTGCTGGTTTATACAGGGTCACAAACCTCCTCTGGTTCTTTATTCATGTTATATTTTGACCAAAGCACAACACAGATGTTTCATTTAGACCACAGGAGACTGTTTGAAAAGAGGGAAAAGGGGATAATATGTCCTCTTTAACAATATTTTCCTATGCCTACACTTTTTCCCTGTTTATTTTATGTTTTTTACTTTATTAAACAATATTTCCATGTTTAATTATTGCAAATATGAGCTCAACCATAATGTATAAAAGTGAATGATTAAATGACTACATGAGGTTTTCTTTGTAAATGAATAAATTCAAGAAAAAGAGTTGGCACATGTACACTTCATTAAGTTTAGAAATGATCAGAATATGCAAAGGCACGAATTTATTCCCCTTCAAAGAAGCACTTAACAGTAACAGAGTTTAATTTATTTTATAGTAGCCTATTATTAGGAAGTTGAAAAGTTTCAACCTCTTCATCTTTCTTTTTTCTTTTCTTTTTTTTTGTTTTACCGATTGAATGCACGAGATGGCAGTGACGCTGTGTGTTTCCTCCCTTTCCAATCCAATTGGTCAGTCTGCCTGTCAATCAACACAGTCTCCCATGGTTACTGAAAGCACAGTACCAGTCCGGGTTGACCAGTGGCGAGCAGACTGAGGACCTCTCACAACCGAAAAGCCAAGCACGACCGAGGGACTTCATCAAAATGAGCTTGTCAACCGCGTTATTTGCCAAAATATATTCCTATGCGGATGCATTTAAATCTTATTCGTCCTATCAGTGATACATTTTTGCCACACGAATGTTTTTTGCTGAATTTGTTTCGCAACGTGTAGCCAGCTGTTTTGTTTAGAAGCAGTCTGTTACTTTTTCGTTCAAGTTTTTTATTTTGCCAACGAACCGCTCCAATTAAACGTCGCCATGATCCCCGAATGCCCCCGGTCCGGGGACCCGAGAAGCCGGACCCGCTTCCAGCACAACAATGCTGCCGAACCGAACCAGACCCGCGGAGTCAGCGGTTTGTTGTCAGAAATTAAAACCACCGTCAAGAACGAACCTTTCACCGACCACTACACCATCATCCCCGGCAAGGAACTGGGAAGGTAAGTCGACCTACACGTTTGTTCAGAGAATGGGTTTATTTGTAGAAGTGAACTTTGTCATAAAGTTGACTAGAGTTAACCTTGATTAGCTTGTTAATGTTGGCGTGGTAAACTAAGAGGACTGCATTAACATAGCTTACTACTTTAGAAAAACATTTTATTCCATCTTTAATTCAACAATTCATGTGTATTTGTGTTTCCTCTTTTATTACATTTTGCCAAATCAGTTTCAAAAGTGAATTATTAACTGCTCAGACTTCCAATGTTTCTCTGCCAGAGCCAGACTGGTTTTTATAGGTCGGCTGTTATTATGCTGTTAAAATCACTGCTAAACTTATATTTGCATAAGTTTCCCTCTTCAACATTTTCATTAAGCAGCTTTCTGAGTGTTTTTGAAATTTCCTTATTGATGCCTGAAGTCCTTTTGTGATTCCAGCTCAGTTATAACAGCATTCAGTGATTCCCTCGCTCTTATGTTGTTTGTCTTTTGCATGTCTGTATTACATTTCCCCGGCTCTTATATCTACAAAAACATGCATTTAAATGTGTAATCAGTTTAAAACATTGACTAGCCATACCAGTGTAATTTTATATTCAGTACATTAGGACGAAAGAAGGAAAAATAAATCATCCCCAGATCAAAATACGCATTATCGGATTGATCTTTAGAAAGTCCAATCTCGGGAGGGAAGGATTTGGGAGAGATGTACTTTTTAGACTATTAATGTTTCACAGGATTTTTTTTTTTTTTTAAAAGGCTTAACTATTTGAGGAAATGCCCTCCATCCTGCTGGCTGGACTCAGCAGAAGAATAGTATAGGCCTTACATAGTAACAAAGCAAATCCACTTTTTGTTCTTAGAATTTGCATTTAGCCTACTCGGATTAATCACACCACTTTCTGACAAACCTGTAACTAGGTTGTGGCTGTGTGAGTGACCCAGGTTCAACGTCTGTGATGGGAGCTCAGTTCTGCAGTGACCCTGTTAAATAGCGACGTTGGCTATGTGTGTTAAGTCTTAGAGGGCCACAGTAAAGGCTGTGTGTATACGTGTGTGTGTGTGTGTGTGGTTTCTCATGACGTTGTGACTGAGATTAGCTGCCACAGAACAACATGAAAGGTTACTTTAATCTGCATATGTTCCTGACCTTTAATGTTGTACTCAGCAGATCAGTCGACACAAGGTCATGTGTTCAAGTTCATGTACATCAGAGCATTATACTGGATCAAACTCGTTGTACTTCTCTAATACACTTTATTTTGAATGATACTGATCCCGATTTTTCTGGGGGAAAAACTTGCACAGTACAGAAATGGTGTTCCGATATTCAACATTTTTAAACTCTACTTAAAATAGATGTTATACTGTTCTATTTTCACTATGACTATTAAAATACATTTTTTTTACTCAAGACTGTTGTTTCAAAGTGCGATATTTACATCCCTGTGACCTTCAGCCTTCAGTCTCAATGTCATGGCGTGTAATGAGGGGATGAAGTGATCCCCCTCTGTGCAGCCCTCAGAGCTAGTAACATGGCTGAGCCGGGATCGGCCGGAGCCGGTGGGGGAACGCAGCGCTGTGTGTTTGTGTCCAATGCATGTCTGACCGTGTGTTATGTGTGGAGCTCCCACTCAGGCAGTACCGTGCTCTCTAGCGCTTCTGCAACGATAAATTCACAGACTGGGACACCAATATTATGTGAAATCAATATGAATGTCTTAAGGCGTAATGAGGGCAAAGCTTCGTTATGGCGCTGTTGTAGAATAGCTCTATGATAACATGAAAGTCTGTAAATTCAAATTGTAAATAATGGTGACTGGTTGACCTATATGTTTTTATATGATATGATGATAGAGATCAGTGTGGCCAAACCAGTTTTAAATAGCAGCCTGGAAAGCGGCCTAGACCTACACAGAACTAAAAATGAGAGGACAACTTTTTTGTTGATCCAACGCCAGAGCCACTCGGATTACGTATCCATAAATAAACGTTAAGGATTGGCTGGATGTGATCATGGTTTTGTTCAATCATATTTGTGTCCAATTATTCACTGGATATATTTCAGAGATTTTCAGATGATCATAAGAAATACTCTACAGCTTCATTCAAGTGCCTTCTCCCTGGAAGCATAAAGTCTGTGCAGGGTATTTGTTTGGCTTTAATTAGATAATGCATGTTTGCACTACAGCAGTTTTTCTGAGATAACACTCAGAATGGGAATATTAAGCCCAGTTATGATAAAAGGAAATTAAGACTAGTGGTGTGCAAAACTGACCAACTTGCTGAAAGTGTACAATTCTACAACTACAATTCTACAATTCACTTAGCAGACACTTTTATCCAAAGCGACGTACATCAGAGAGTAAGTACAACACAAGCAAGGATCTAGAAAAAAAGGGAACAATGTCAGTAAGAGCAAGCGATCAGCTTTGTACGTGTACACGTTGGGCGTCGGCCAGCTTGTTAAAAAAGTATTTTAAAAAAGTATTTCCTTCAACAGGTATACACGGGGACACCACCTCGTGACGTTAACATTATATTACATTCTGAATGTAGGGAGGGAGAAATGTTTTCCTGATGATCCGCCGCCAGCACCGAGGGGCCACGCGGCCTCGGGTGCGGGGATCTCAAACCGGTAATGATCCTTCCGCAGGTTCACCTACGGCTTTTCTAATGTTTTAATCTTCGTTCATTTAAAACATTAGTGGCATGTTACATGTTATAAATATAATTGGATTATGAGATCACTGTAGCGCTCTACACTTCTTCAGAACAACAGCGGTGAGAAGGAGGGGTGGAGAAGAAAGTCACCACCTGTGCAGCTCCCTCAAGTGTTTGTGTCGCCGTTTCAGCATGTCGGCTTGTCTCCACCCCCCCCCCCCCCCAACGCTTTAAACCTATAGGGGAAACACTGGCTTAACAGCTGATGCTCTGTGCTTTGTGCTGTGACATGCGCACCTTACCAAATGTTTTTAAAAAAACAACTAACTTTTAAATGGTTAGCGATTTTATTCAACGTTTACTGTTTTTCTAAATGTTTAAACCTTTAGAAGTCACACCACTAATTCTTTTTTGCAGATTGATAGGCATTGCATAATGAAGATCCAAAGAAAAATTGTGCCAGACTTCAAGGTCAACAACATATTTAATACCAATTAGCTTTATGGTATTAGCATTTTTCCACTTCCTAATCCTAACCAACATCATAATATTGTGACACAACACAGTTGAGAAGGCATCGATTCCTATACCCCAAACACAACTGTTAGATGAAATTTAATATTGTGATTGAATGCTTCCATCGGCTGTTTTATATTGGTACCTAATTTGATTGGGCATTTTTTTAAATGTAAAATAACACACTTAGTATGATAATATGATGCCATAGTTGATAGATATCAAAGAGCATCAGCTATACAGTTGAATTCAGGATGTACATAGTTAAGAAGATCAGCTTTGCTTCACAAGCACCACTCAAATTGAAGCCCTACAGTTTGTCTGATATGGGAACACAATGCTTTGGGTAATTTGCATTTCAAAAAAGATGTACTGATGAACCATCACCATTGTCATCAGATGAACTTATTGCAGGGTGGTTGAGTCAGGCTTTTAACAGAGATGTCTGAGTTTGCAGCGGAATACAATCCATTAAAAAGCTACAGAATGTTCTCAAACTATTGCTAAGTAGAACCAATTTAGAAACTTGACATCGTTAAAAAGGATAGAAATTTGTATTTGTCTTGAAACTGTCAGTGTTTGACCTCCATTAACTGGCTACTTTTCTAGGGATAGAGATAGAGGATGGGGGAGTTTAAAGTAATACCCTCCAATGCGTCCCTGCAGTGGGAGTCCCAGATGGCTTGAAGCCAAGCTCCTTTAGTAACTGCGACAATGGTGCAACAGTCATTGTATCCATATGGTTAAAAGCTTTTTCCATGGGGGGTCTTAGTGACAGAAATGGCCACTCTCTTATTAGTCCTTATGGTCCTGGTCATAGTCCTTATGGTCCTGGTCAGAGCTCTTTGGTGATTGCATATAACCAGCCTGGTCCTTGAGCTAGGATTTAGCACTAGGAGACGTTTAGGCTTTTCTTTCTGATAGCAGGGGTTGTTGTCACATTTTGAAAATGTTACTTATTCTCGTAAAGATTTTAAGAGTCACTAATACATATTATTTTCTGACTCAAATTATATTCTTCTAAGATAGACCACTTTGGTAATTTATATCTTTGCTGTAAAGGCCCTGACACACCAAGGAGACGGTCGGCCGTCTGCCTGTCGGTGAGAGCTCGCCCCCCCAGTCGCTCCAGTTGGCCTTTTTTTTTCAGACTCTACATGTAGAATCTGAGGAGCCGTCGCCGGCACGGTTGGGGGGTAGGGATCTCTCTGATTGGCTGTTCAGCTAAGCGAAACAGAAGAGCCAGTGCACGAGAAGAAATACGGAAGCGCCTCTTCTCTTCTTGTTCCACTAATAAAAAAGCAAGGGCTGACAACGCCAGCACCATTTTCTACTTTTTATCAGACATTATTCTCCATTAGAAGTTCCTATATTACGAGTGTTGAGCGACAACAAAGGTTTATTTATCCGCTTTCTTCCTCGTCCTCTTCCGATTTCCCCTTTTTGGAATGACGATCACAGACTACCGCCACCTGCTGGCATGTAGAGTTATTTCCTTTCACGCACGCACAGAACGTACGTGGTGGTTGGCCGTCGGCTGTAGTCTTTGTGGTGTGTTCTAGTGAAACTTTTTGGCCAAGACAAACGACGTCACCAGTTCTTAGCCGTCTGCTCAATGTGTCATGGCCTTAAGTCATTCTGCATGGTACGTGTCTTGAAAATCCTAAAAATCACTCAAATTGTAGAATTCTTTTCTGATTGCTTTAATCAGTTACTTCATTAGCTTTTCACCCCAAGTTGTTCGATATTTGTTGTGAACCTGTTTACATTACATGTTCCAACGCTAAAATAATGGTGGTTTGAAAGTGATCTTAAATTAATT